CGAACGCGTTTGCGCTAAAAAGGTGGCTCACAGAGGCTCTCTAGGAAAACACAGCTACAAAAATTTCGGATTGACAAGCATGCAATTTTATCTCCAACGATATAAATAATTATATTTATATGTTGGAGAAAGAGAGAGAGAGAGAGAGAGAGAGAGAGAGAGAGAGAGAAATGAATACTTATATATTAATAAATTCTTATCGAACAATTATTTATTAATGATAAATTTCTTTTTATACATATGGAAATTCAATTTCGATAATCTTGTATTTAACATGTACAGACGAAAATTAATGCAGCCCAATAATTCTGATTGGTTGACTTTCTATTACTTTCCCGAGATTCTATTTTCCGAAAATCTGACTGTCATAGGACACAGCACCCTTAATATGGTTCTTTCTCTCTAAATCTGAATCCATGGATAATCACTAATTATTCAGTGGCACTTTGCATTGATAATCAGTGAAGTTCAATTAAAAAAGGAAAAATGTTTGAGCATTATATAACTAAAATACTGATATTTGCGTTAATTTCAATTTCTTCCAATTCTGTATTCATTGAATTTAAACATTAAAATAAGATTAATTAGATCACGCTATAAAGATTAGCTAAGTTAGGGATCTCACATTTAATTCACTGATTACTAGTGGCATACTTGGCATTGATATCAGTGATTATTCACTGATTCAGATTTAGAGAATTAATATGATTGATTCCTACACTTAGATCCAGCAAAAAGTTAAAGATAAAAATTAATCATATTGAAGAATCACTTAACTGATTAGAGTTTTCTCTACTGAACGTCACTGTAGTTCGTATATACTTAAATCGAGCAAAAAAATTAAAGACAAGAATTAATCATATTAAAAGATCGGATAAAGTTCCGAAAGGGTGAACCATCTGATATTCTTGTCTCGATATTCTGATCTCGCTTGATATACTACTGTATTTTGGTGTATACTGTATTGTGCTGATTGCGAATATAAAAATTGGCGACAAGGACATTTTCAAGATCAAACTTAAAAAACGAAGAAGAGTTCACTCTTTCGGATCTCTATCCAAAGATCATATTAAAGAACCACTTAACGGTCACTGATCTGTTTTAAAGATGCCTCTATCATATTTAACAAAGAGACTAGGAGCAATCACAAGTAAAGATAAACAAAATATAAAATAATGTAGCTTATTAGGAAATGTTAGAAAATTTTATTTTACATAAAATGTACATATTTATTTATGTTTTACAAAGCTCACAAAATGCTAAATAAAATTGATGAGAAACCAATGTGATCGCTAATCGTGATAAATATACGCCAATACGCTATATTATAATTTAAAAAAAGGAAAAAAATTGTAAACATTCTCACAATCATTCGATATATCGTTAACACACACTTGACATATCGTTAATCAATTTGTTTCGCAGCACTGTTGCGAGATTGATTTTTCTCAGCGAATTTGCATTTTGTTTTCTTTTGTTTTTGCGAATTCTGAGTTAATCTCAGTTACCTTTACAAGATCACAATATCTCTCACACTCTCCGCAATGGAATCTATCATACCATATGAATTATTATATTTATGATATAAATATAATATTAGGTGTACAACTTTGCTTCCGCCGTTTTTTTTCCGAAATTCGAGGCTTTATTGTAAAAAACTGGTTATATGATTTTATGATTCAAAGTATTGTCCATCGCTGGCCACTACTTTCTGCCATCTTTCGGGTAGCGTACGAATCCCGTGTCGAAAAAACTGGTCATCTTTTGAGGCTATCCACGAATCGATGCAATTTTTTACTTCTTCATAAAACCGGAAGTGCTGGTCAGCCAGGTCGTGTGCCATTGATCGAAACAAATGATAATCAGAGGGAGCAACGTCTAGAGAATACGGCGGGTGGGGTAGGACTTCCCATCAACGTTTCCAAGTGTGTCTTGACCACTTTCGCAACATGGGGTCGAGCATTGTCATGCTGCAAAATCACTTTATCGTGTCTCTCGTTGTATTGCGGCCGTTTGTCTTTCAATGCTCAGCTCAAACGCATCAATTGCGTTCGATACCGATCGCCTGTGATTGTTTCAGTCGGTTTTAACAGTTCATAATACACTACGCCGAGCTGGTCCCACCAAATACAGAGCATGACCTTGGAGCCGTGAATATTCGGTTTGGCCATCGACGTGGAAGCATGGCCGGGAACTCCCCATGATTTTCTGCGCTTGGGATTATCGTAATGAACCCATTTTTCGTCCTGTCACAATGCGATGCAGAAATCCCTTCCGTCTTTGCCTTTCAAGCAGCTGTTCACAAGCAAACAAACGCCGTTCAACATCTTTCGGCTTTAATTCGTACGGCACCCAATTTCCTTGCTTCTGAATCATTCCCACGGCTTTGAGGCGTTTTGAAATGGCTTGTTGAGTCACTCCCAATGATCGTGCCAATTCTTCTTGATTTTGACACGAGTCTTGCTCAAGTAATGCCTCCAATTCTACATCTTCGAAAACCTTCTCTCTTCCACCGCTATGCCGGTCTTCGACGTCAAAATCACCGTTCTTGAAGCGTTGAAACCATTCATGACACGTTCTTTCACTAATAGCGGCCTCATCATAAGTATTTGAGAACATTCGATGAGCCTGAGCCACAGATTTCTTCATATTGAAGCAAAAAATTAAAACCTCCCGCAAATGACGAGAATTTTGCTCGTAAATTGACATTTTCAATCGAGAATAACTTTATGATACAGACACAAATCAACTAATGTTTCTATGGGGTTATATTGACAGATGCCCAAGTTTATTGTATGACGTCTATGATCTATTTATTTCAATCACCACTTACCGCTAAAGCCATCTATAGGAAAACGGCGGAAGCAAAGTTGTACACCTAATAATATTTATATAATAAATAGTAGTAGCGCGAAATAATTTGAATGACTAAACGCAAATCAGGTGTGTTTATCATTTACGTGAAATAAATACTAGGGTGCGATCAGGAATTACTCTCAAATATAACTATAGTTTATTTTAGTAAATTTTAGCAAAAGTGCACTAGAGGTATCTGGACGTAACTCCTGAACGCATTCCTAATAGCGCACTACAATTGACTTAATCCTTATGAAAATAAAAATCAGAGCGTAAATCAGATGAAATGGAAGAGAAGTGTGAACGAAACTTTTAGAAGGCAAAAATTGGAACAATGAAATATAAAAAAAGCATTTATGCATATATTATTTTTTTAAATTCTGCCCATAGACTTTTAATTCATTTACCCAAAATGAATTCGGTATCTCACAATAGGAGCCTTTTCTCTATAAGTATGTTATTATTCATATATTGCATAGTTCTAAATATTTAACTGTGTGCGTACATTACTATTCACTTACATTGCATATTTCTTAGAAAATAAAAATTAATTAATTAATTATTGTAATACGTAGGCATTATAAAAGCCCCTTGAATGGTAAGTTGGCTGTGTGTGTGTGTGTGTGTGTGTGTGTGTGTGTGTGTGTGTGTGTGTGTGTGTGTCTAACTTGGAAAATAACACAAATAATCTTTTTGGATTAAAAGATATTAAAATTATCAATTTTAACCAGACTAGTCGCAATCGAAAGCTTCGAATATATATAAATGAAATTGTCATTAGATTTTTTATTACGATTTTAGTTTCTGAGATATTTTAATCCGGAATAAAAGAATTTTGGAGCTTGGTAGCGCCGCGATATTTATCTTCACAGTAACATTCACATCAAATGGCCCATTCGTTCGATCAACTTTTTCTTATTTACTTGACAGCGTCGCTTGATCATACTTTTAATTGGAAATACTGATATATTCCAATTAACTAAAAATAGGATAGGCGCATTTAACTTTAAATCGTTAGTACATGGAAGTTTATATATAAGTGAAAATTTAGTATAAATGGATAGACGTAGAAAGTCCGATTGCTATGAGCTATGGATTTCTTAATATTTGCTTTTGTACTCTATACATTATCTAGATTTCCGAATTATTTTCGGAATTTATTAGTAATAGATTTCCAAGTAGAGTATAATAACTTTTACAATACATTAAATAGATCAAACATATTAAAAATCCTGGTTTGAACCATTAGTATGTATTTCCAAATACAAATCAGATATAATTTAATCGTAAATTCCAGATAAATTCTTAATTACCTAAAATTACAGACATACAAAATAGATTTTTATGTGAAAATCCCACCAAAGCCCAAAAATTAGTAATCTAAATATAACCATATTTGATTTTAATATATCTCAAATTTAGTTTAAGTAAAATCCTATATGTCCAAATTTTGTATAAATTTTGTATTATTATTTGTACAAATATGATCAAATACATTTTATATCTGGACATATCTAGAATTTAGTGCAGACCTTGCTCGATTTTTGCTGCCAACCTGCTGTCAAGTTATGTCAGCAGACTCTGGCTCGCAATCTGCTATCAGATTCTGTCAGCAGATTCTGCTTAATTTTTGCTGCCAGTTTATTTGCATAGAATATTAACAGGTTCTGTCAGTAGAACAGCAGCAGATTGAGTTATGATCAGTTTGCTAACATCTTCTGATCAAATCTATCACCAGCCTATCGACATCCTGCTAACATTTTGTTATCTGGATATATTTTTGACGGAATGTTCGACTGCTTGATGTGGCTGTTCGATGATAATTTTCTCAAGAATTTGTATGAAGAAATTGAATCTTAAATTCATGTAAAAAACAATTGTATATCTTACCAGTTTTCAGTAATAACTATTTATTATTTATTTTTTATTTACATTCAACAGTATTTCAACATGATTTATTTAAAATAATTTATTCACAATCTTAAATTAATTTTTTTTCCTTTTATATTTGTTATTTATTCATTTTTTAATCATTTTTTTATTAATTAAATAACATATGCAATAATAGTTTCGATTATGAGAGTAAATCGTTTTCACAGAACAAAATCCATTATATTCTTCTTTCTTCTAAACTAAGAAATGTATTATCCTAAATAACCAGAATTACTAATTTCTGATGACAAAAAGTTGTTCCCTTTATCTATTAACATAGCCTTTGTTTCGACATCCAATTCTTCAAAACCTTCTGTCCGGATTACAGTCGTCATGTTTTTAAAATAGAAGTTAAAGCAATATTTCATCAATTCCTAAAGAATAAATGCTATACATATAAGCGAATTTAAAAACATGTAGGGTAGAGCGAGGCTAGTTGCGCTAGAGACGTATTCGCGTCCACCATTTTTATTCCTTTTCCTACTTCTTCCTCTGTCCTCATTCCATCACTGAGCTGTGACAGGTTATGATCATTACAGGTTACGATTTGTATTTGCTGCTTGAAATTTTGTAGCTCCTTTTATTCCATTTTTGCTGTCAAAATCAGTTGAATCTATTATAATATTAGTGCAAGACTTGAAGAGTGTCAGGCGTTCAGATTATTTCTAGATAAGGTGCCAAATATGTACGTCAATTTGAAGTAAAGGATTGAAATTTCTCATCTGTGAGGAAGTGTAGTGATGTTTATTCACAAGTCATGTATTTATTTTACAGCAATACATTAAGTTGTCGGCGAATATTATCCGCAGGAAATTTAAATAATCGAATACTTTTTTCTGATTTATTGATACAGTTTACCGCAACGCAACAAGGCATTTTATAAATTTTTTTGCCTTCGTTAATATATAATATTTCAGATTTTTTTATATCCTTCTTTTCGTCTCTTTTAGTCTTATGGTAAAATTTCGAAAAGCGGAAATATATAAATACGAAGCTACAAGGTTTCCAACAGCTCAAAAGCTATAATCTATAACAACCATAATCTTCTCAGCTCAGCAGCAAAGTGGGAACAGAGCAAGAAGTGGGGAAAGGAATAAAAATAGTGGATATGCGATCACGTTTATAGTGTCTTAAGTTGCACATAAAGGCAGGTTGGTCAAATGCAAATATTTAAATAACCAAAATATATAGATACGTCTATACTTGCGTAATATAGCACAAAGACAGAGATTACTGTGCCTTAATACAATAATTCGTGTCTAGCTGTCAATAGCCAAATACATTTTTCATTTTCATATACCAAAAATAAAATTATTAGATGAGTATTCCTTTTGATCTATTGATCTATTGATAATTAAAGCGATTAATAACAATCATGTGTTTTTGGATATAAGTTATTTTTTAATTTTAATGTTCAAGTTGCTATTTTATTTACAGTTATGGTTTTTCAGTTATAAAAAATATTTCAGTCAACACTAATATGAGGCTTGTTGGACCCAGTATCCATAACGAACCTCAGTTGCTCAAATAACATCTGTCTTTATTGATACTTTTTATTCTATTTTAACGATTAAATATAGATTTTATGTTTAATTATTATTATAAAGAGTAAAGATTTTCTAATTTTGTTAATAATCATTTAAATGAGAATGTATTATAAATTATTACACTGTTAATAAAAATTTGATTAATGTACATAATCCTTTCAAAGTTTTTAATCATATATAATCTCACTAAACAATTATCTTCATACTTCAACTTATCCTTCGAGGATGCTCAATATGCCCAATAAGTAGCATATTGATCTACTTTGCATTTTTATAATTAACGTTTTTTTTTTCTTATTTATGAGATATTAAGATTTATAAGTATTCAGTTATTGAGCCAAATGAACATGCAACATTTTAAAGCATTTACCATTAATCTATCATAATTATATGAAGATTTATAATTTAAAAAAAAATGTCAACTAGCTCCGCTCTACTCTAATATAAAGATATATTCTTACAACTAATGAATTTTGCCTAAGGCTATGGTTAAAGTCTCACTACAAATGCTTTGAAGCGTTCGATTGATCAATTAGAAAAAAGAATTTTACATATTGACCAATCAAAAATTGCTTTAAAGCATTCGTAGCATCGCGTTAACTGTATCCTAAAAATGATATTGGCAGCTGGATAACTTTAACAGAACCGGGTGTGGCGAGTGAGACATTTACCTCATGTAAACAATTTAAAGGGAGCGCAAAAAATGGCAATATAATTTCCTACATATTCTAATTCATTAACGATGATTTTAAATTACGGTTCACTTGATAAAACATTAAATTAAAGTTAATGAAAAATTATTTAAGGTCATTATTAGTTAAGAAAAATTATACAGGCCTGCAGAAAAAAACTTTATCATGTACTGAAGACTCAGCTGGAGACCCAGTTATTCTTATGTATTTTGAATCATTAAATACAAATCTGACATCAAAATAGGATTATCCAGGATAAATTTTCAATCTAGAACGAAAAAATGGATCAAAACCTTCGAAATCTCTGCTTTTATTAATATATTCTAAAACCATTGATAAAAAACTTAAAATTAATCTAATCTAGACTATATTAATTTTTTTTAAAATTAAACCTAGACTATATGTTTCCCGAGTTGAGAAATATTTATCAGCCGTCAAGAAATATTGTACTGAACGCTCTGAAATACTAATATGCTATTACAAAAAGCAATCCTTAATATCTCAATTGATGGACAAGATACCAACAAACGCCACATTTACGTTCTCTGCATTTCTTGCAAAACTGAAATTCTTTAATTGTTACAATAATAATTGTTATAATAATAATATAAAAATATAAGTTTTTATGTAATATAGTCTTTTAGTTTAATAGTCGTTTTTATGATATAATAATTAATATAATTCATTTTATATTTAAATAAAAAATTTATTGATCTATTATTTGACGGCCATTAATTAGCTAAGTTATATTTATTTTAAATATGAAATCAAAAAATTGTATATCGAATTTGGATACAGTGCATCATTATCGGATAAGACGACAAAACAATTAAGCTGCTGAAAACGATTTATCGAAATATTAATTATGTGATCGATGATGTATTTATGTGAACGCAAAAATAAACCAGCGCCCGAATTTTATTGATAAATAATTTCATACCGTTTTTTAATCGATTTAAATTGATTCGGAGTGGTTTCGAATTAAAAAAGATCAACTTAATCCATGATTAACTTCCCAAGCGACTGTATTATTATATTAATGTGGATAATATTTGTAATTTATTCGAGGCACACACATATATGTGCTTTATCCTTACGAATAAATTTATCCTTCAGAATTAATACTATATTTATTGGAATATTTTATAATTTTATCAAAAATTGCTTTTGGAAAGCACATGTCACTAGAAATGCGATTTGTAGAAAAATTAAAGTTAGTGAGATATATGTATAGAAGTTTTAGAATCTTTGTAAAAAATTTATCCAAATACATTACGTTGCAATATTGCTGGAACGTTTTGTTGCAATATAACAAAAAGCGGACATCTTAACATTGTTGGAATTTTGCGACAAGGGTTCAGCAACGTTTCACAACCACCAATATTGCAATGTTTTAATCATTCTGCAATGTTTCTGCAATCTTTCTGTGCTATATGAGATCCTATTGCAGCACGCCTTCGTTCGTTTCATTACCATGGTGGATCAGAAAACGAATTATTCTATACATTCCCTTTCGGGGCAATTGTCATCGTCTCCAGCATTCTCCATAATAGCAGATACTTGTAAGTTTTCACCTACGTCACTATATTTGCATGTAATTCTCAACTCAGGAAACATATGGTTTAGGTTTAATCAAAAGTTTTTTGTCAATGATCTTAGAATATATCAATAAAAGCAGAGATTTCGAGGTTTTTGATTTATTTTTTTCGCTCTAGATTGAAAATTTACTCTGATTGTATTTTTATGTCAGATATTCATATGCAGTGACTCAATAAAAATACGTAAGAATAGGTGCTGATCTTTACCCCAGCACATTATACTTTTTTTTTTGTGGACCTGTTATCAAATACCGAAAAATATAGGAAATCTTTCAATTGAAAATGAAAGACTACCCAGTAAATGAGAATGGTTTAAAATGGATTGAAATTTTTTCTATTTGCATACGTATTTTAAATACTTTTTTTGAATTTAATTGAATTCAATTGGATTCGATTAGATTCAATTGGATGCGATTGGATTGAAAAACTGCATTTTCTATTCAAAATTTTGAAAAGAACAGTTTCATAATATATTGGGTTGTCCGAAAAGTTCAGCCGGTTTTGAAGGAAAATTGAAACGCAGAAAATTTAAATTCTAATATACATTTATTAAATTATATAGGTTAGTCGACACGAACTTTCCAGACAACCCAATATATGTTGTGCAGAAAAAGCTAATATTATTTTTAGATTGAAAGGCATAGAGACATGCTCCATGTAATTCCTATAAATGAATACAAAAGCATTCAGGCTTGAAAAGCATTCATTTTAACATTCGTGAATCAATATTTCTGAAAATCTGAATCCATTTCAATTCATTTTCGTTTGCTGGATATAGATTTTGATATAATAATTGATAATTTCGCATCTATCAAAAAATATTATTGTGATTTTA